GAAAAAAAAAGGTACTTTGTGTTTATTTTCCGGAGATCAAAGTAGTTGTGATAATTATTTTTTTTTTTTTTTAAATTTAAAAAGTGTCATGTGGTTGACACAATTTTTAAACCCCATAAAAATCTTTTTTACCTGTACCAAAACTTAAAGGTCCGCGCCCCCCCCAATCCCCCCCGCCCCCCCCCCCCCCCCCCCCCCCCACGGGATTTACATTGATAGGTGCATTCGGGAGCGGAGGCGTACGCCATTTCAGATTCGTAAAGTTGACCCGGGTGATAGGGTAAACCTACCTGTGAAATTTGCTTGTAAACCAGAACTAACTTTAACCCGCTAGTTAAGGTGACCCTAGCACAAGGGTAACCCTTTTCTCCTTGTAAACAGGCCCTAAAAGTCCGGGTAGCCGATAGGATTGATTTGCAAAACAACAACATCACGCTTTTTCGTAAATTTTTTTGCCGTCACTGCACCACTACGACGTGAAAATGCCAAATTGCATGTTTTATGGAGGACGTAAACCAAATACTTCATTGTCATATTTTGACTCTGACCTAACTGAAACCTTTATTTATGCTTCGTCGTTCGATCAATGTGCCTATTTACCTGCTTGGCGATATGAATTGTCGTCTTGAGAGTAGTGATAATCCTGAGGCTAAAATGAGTCTTACTAAATTTCTGTTGGACGGCTTACAGAACCCTACGACAGGAGGTTAAAAGAGAAATTAAAATTGCTGAAAGAAAATTTTTAACAGAACAGATTCAAACGAACCCAGGGAATACAGACAATATTGCAAAGCAATACGCCACATAATCCCTAAAAAATCCACATCACAACGAATTTTCAGCAAGGATAAGAAATCTGTTGCAAATTGGCCAAAGTTCTGTGGGAAAATACAGCCATTGGCTAATGAATGCAACATAACACTCAACCGAAATTATTTCGTTCTAAGACCCTGTTTACATGGAGTGGGGGACCCCGGTCTAGTGGGGTAGGTTTCTTTTGTTTTGTGTCCCCCAGAGCGTGAAAACAAAAGAAACCAACCCCACTAGACCGGGGTCCCGCACTCCATGTAAACAGGCCCTAAGACAATACCCTTTGTGCGAGCAGTTTCATTTGAATACCATAAGCAGTTGTGAGATCACATTACACCAGTTTTAAAAGACCTTAAATGGCTACCAGTAGCAACTCAGTTATACTTAAGGAACGCTATCATGACCTTTAAATGCCTTGCATACCGCGTGCCGGAGTACCTTTCCTCCCAGTTCATTAAGCGAGGAGAAATTAGCAGGCGTACCACGAGAAGTTCACAGATGCTGAACAATCCACTTTTCAAGACTGCTAGTGGCCATAGGACATTTTAATATATAATAGCCAGTGTCGGAAAGTCCATGGATAGCAGCTATCTTAAAACTCTTGAGTCAGTATCTGCCTTTAAGTTCGATCTGAAGTGCAAACTCGTAAAGGATTATATAGATTCTTAAGTATTTTATTATGTCAATTCAATTTTAGGGTGAATATTTTTCATGGAGTTTCTAATAAGTACAGGATTTTAAATTAATTTAAACACATTATACCTCTGATAAAATATTATTGTTAGTATTTCAGCGTCCTTGAAGTAGGTTTTTACTGTAGTAAATAATTATCTTTTAGTTGTATGTAATTAATTTAAGTTATTGTCTTTGAAAAGCCTCTATGTGGAAAGTCAATAAAGTATGTATGTATGTATGTATGTAACTCGAAACCTGAGCCCGCGATGCGGTCATGTGATACTGGTTAGCGGATATCCTTTTCTGACAGCTGTCAGATGACCATAAGTCCAAGACAAAAGTCCTCAACATTTAGACAAAAGTGAGACATCACATGCGATGGTTTACCAGACCAGTGTTTCGCATTTCAAGGTAAAAAATACACTGCTAAATGACACAGATGCGAAGGGAAAGTTCAAAAGAATGCTTAGTTTTCTTGTAGTGGATAAGGAAGGGTTTTCTATACAAATCAAACTGTCCTTCGAGGAATTCGAAATTTTCTTCAAGGCCGATCGGGGTGCTTGGCCTTTTTTGAAACGCAACCAAGCATCGAAGCTTTTGAAGAATTTTCAGGGATAGTACTCTATATTTACGCTATAGCCAGGTGAACAAAATTACTTTTTTACAAGGAAATATATGTATTTTTAAATATTTCATAGACGTTTCATACATTTTGTGATCGGCTTGAGCGCCCTGAATTGAGATTTGTGTTCAATAATTTTTGCCATGACCGCGGGAGGATTAGCTCAGTCGGTAAAGTGCTTAACCGGAAAGCGGGAGGTCCTCTGATCGATTCCCCGGAACCGGACCAACACTCAGGGACTTAAAAATGACTGAGAAATGAAGGTACTGCCTTTGCCCTGCAAATGGCTAGACCTTTGCGTGGCTCGGATGACCACGTAAAATGGCGGTCCCTTCTCCAGTAGGAGACGTAAAAATAGTGTCCCCAGTTACTACTTCTTGCTAAAATGCATTGACACTCAAATAATAAGTCATGTTGTTACAGACTCAAAACTGAAGCGACTGCAGCAAGAGAATCCAGCGATATTCATGCACACACACTGTAAACGTGAGCTCTAAATTTAATGTTAACTCAACATGCGCAACTGGCATAATGTCTACAAGCCAAAATGGTTAATTGAAGTTCTAAAAATGTTCAAAAGCTTATCTGCCTGGATAGTACTCCAAAATAAAGTCCTCATAAACCAGGAACAGTCAGTTTTAGCAAAACAAGGAGTACAAAAGGTCCATGTCGCCACACGTTCTTCTTCACAGCAACACTAACAAAACCAAACTCCACAAAACCTCAACATGTGCTTTTTCCTAATGTCCATATATGGTCATACAAACGGTTACATAACAAAGCGGCGGCGCGTGACTTTGAAAAGGACTGTTGGTAGGAGTGTGAGCCTCGTAACAATGTTCTCAGCCGGTATTTACTAGCGTGAACGGATCCACGAGCGAAGTTAGTGTTACGCGAATTGCTTTTTTTAAGGATTAATTTATTGGTTTTTAAAAAAAAACTTTTGGAGAAATGATTTCTCTGTCTGTTGTTGTGTGTTCTTTCATTGATTAACTCAAAACATGATCGTGAGACTACACCCACTACAGTATCAAAGCTGAATTTAATGCTTCCCACATAGCCTATGCGCATCAGTTCTGCGAATGTCGGCGAATATTACAGGATTTTTACTTTTAGGTTCATGGGCACTTTTTGATACGCAGCTAATTAATTTTATTTCAAAGTATGTTTTTCTGATTATTCAAGATTTGCGCTCTAAGTTTACTACACAGAGGGTCACTAAATTATCGTTTTTACGTTGAAAATTCGCGCGGTCGATTAAATGGATTAAGAGTTACAAACTACGATAGTTCAGTTGGAAAGATGAGATTGAAGGAGCAGAAATCAATCTTCACAGGACTATGAACGACATTCTGGTGACTTTTCAAAGCCGGTCGGCAAAAGTCGATCTCCCAAATATCCACTAGGGTTTTTTAAAAACCATAATTTCCTGCTGTTTGTCATACAGCAACGCACGCATGCGCATTCTGTTTTTGTCTAGGCGTTTCTCGTCCGTTCGCTTCGGATACGTCACCCAAGTGAGTTAACCGAGAAGGCGTGGGAAAACACCGTACAGGGACAAGGCGAGGCGGCTATCATCAACTTAAACACAGGCTGCAGGCTCCACACAAAGTAAAAAAATCATTTTACATTGGTTATCCTGTGGTGCGGACGTACGGGCGTACGGGCGTACGCTCACGTGCCTACCAAAACTTCTCAGATGCATGGATAACCAGATTTTCTTAACCAAGGTGCTCCTCTGCGCCCGCCTCGCACGCCCCAGAGCTCCGCTATGACCAGAATTTTGACCAGTCGAAGATTAGATTGGTCCTGGACTGTGACCAAGCTAAACAGCAAATCCCAAAAACATATTTTAAAAATTGTTTGTCGTAAGTCAAACACAAGGAACTTCAATTCAATCTATATTTTTACTGAAGTAAATCTAAAATTAAACTGCAGTGTTAACGCCAAGACAAAGGAAAGGTGCATGCTCGGACTCCCAGCTTCCCCTTTCTCAATGAGTCTCATTTCCCCCTACGCCTACAATCTGTGCGGGCATGCGCAAGACCAACTTTTGTTGCAGCGATGTGTTTCCATTAATACAGCTTCCATTGCTGCATTTTTAATATGTAACATTCTGTTCTCTTCTTAGTTATTCTTTGAAAGTTGCGAGTTTACTAGAGATTTTAAAGGACCCGGAAATTGATATCCAAACATTTCAAAATCGTTAGAATAAATACTCCGTAATCTGTTAATATAACGTAAAGGAATCTGAGAGTAAAACCGCAGTAAATCAGAAGAAGTTCGTGAATGGCGAGTCGACTTGAATACCATGCTACCATTCATTTTCGATTCTTTGATGAGGAATGCTGCGTCTTCATCAATCGTTTCCAAATAACCAATAAAATTGTATCCTATACTACACACATGACACAGCTGACTGTAGGGACGCCAGTGTTCATCGTAAGCTTTCGCAAACGCAACATACTTGACAAATTCAAAGAAAGTAACACCATACCCAGACATTTTTTGGTGCTCTGTTGCGTTTTTTCGGAATTTCTTTATAATCTCTCTGCCAAACTTTTTATGATAAACTTCATTTTTGGCCAAAAATTTACTTTTGTAAGCCGACAGCAACCTCTCGAACGGTTCGCGAACAAATAAAAATTTGTAGTAGCGTTGTATTTTTGTAGTGACGTTCCGATTAGAGTACTCACTGAGATGTTTCCATATTGTTCTGTTTTGAGCTTGTTTACCTTGAACTCTTCCATGATGATGATAAAATGAAAGGGCTTCTCGCCACTCTGTGCTAGCTACTTTAGGTACCGAGCAGTAAATAATCCCTGGTTCATCTAAGACAATCAGGAAATTCATTTCCCTTTTGGGTGGAAGATTTTTGTCCCTTGGAGATCTCTGACAGAAAGAGTTTACCATTTTTTTTCTCTCTCTTTGTCGCTGTCGCAAGACCTCCTCAGATACTTTCTGAAACAAAGAGAAAATCGAATTTAAATACCTTCTTTCATTCTCGTTGTGGCTTCATTTTTCGGTCTCAAAAACGAAGAATGCGATTCTCAAATCACTAACAAAAACATGCCACAATAATTATTAATCAATTATTCAAGTATTCGTCTAATTTTTCTGAGCGGCACTAATCCCCCGCCCAACTCTTTATAACCACCAAGCGTTTATCAAATTTGATAGGTATGCGCTGCTATTATATCATCTGACGTCAATTGTAAAATATTCGGCAGAGAAAGGAGGGACTGACAAAGAAACAAACAAATAGAAACAGAAAAGAATAAGAGAAGAATGCTTTTCATTTAGATAAAAGAAATAGGATCACTAAGAGCAGCACGAAAGAGTCGTAGGGGCAACGTTTTCAGGGAGAACCCAAACACTTTACAGAGCACTTTTGCCATGTGATACCAATGCAACAAAACGATTTACCTGTGCGTTTGTGTCTCTTTTTGGGTATTTCGAAAGAGATTAATATTAACGAGAGGACGGTTACTCTGGCGTTCGATGCCAGACCACAATCACTTTAGGCGCGTCAGAAGCTGGTGACTACTTTCGTCTCGAGCTGTTTGACCGATATTATTTGTGAAACTGTGCCAGAAGCAACGAAAACATAGTGAAAAAGGTTCTTTCAATAAGGGAACAATATTTAATACCTCGTCGAGAGAGAAGCTGGCAGCGGACGTTTCTGCTGTTGTATGCGATATGTTTTCAAACGGCGCGATGTGAAGTGTTAGGCTTTTTCCTGGGTTTGGCGACGCAACCATCAAGAAATCTTGACCACTAACGAACCCCTCTACCACTATCCCTTGATTCTGTCCAATTTATTTGAAACCTTGTTTGAAGGCAAGTTTCCTTAGACCGGCCGGCGTTAAATCGCTTTGTGAACGTTCATTTCCTACGCTTCCTTGACTTCAAAGCCAGCGAGTGCCAAGCCAAGGAATCGCCTGGATCGAGTTTCCCGAGAAGTTAAAGCCTTTCCTGATTGGATATCCGCAACGACACACCTCCAACCAGAAAAAATAGCGCACGGGAGGCGAGGAAAGTCCGTCTCTCGACTGACCACCTAACAAGCAGAAACCGGAAACGGGCTTTGATTGATTGATTGATTGATTATTTTCATAACTTCTTTACATGAAAGCCGTATAGAAACAGAAGTAAATACTGTACAACTACACTAAAAATATGATAAGTGTAATAAGTGCCTTTGACGCCTTGAGGCAAGCTCTTCCCAGTTTAGTTGTTTTCGTATTTGTGCTGAACGAACGTCATAACCTTGAAAAGTTATTATACGTGCAGCACGATTTTGTAATTTCTGGATCCTGGTGGCAAGTCCCTGGTCTAAATTGTCCCAAACAACGTTGCAGTAGTCGAACACAGGCTGGATAAGGAATTTGCAAATAGTATTTAGAACATCTAATGGTACATAATCACGTGCCTGTTTTAGACCACTGATGGATCGATTGACTTCTCTCCATCCTCTCTGACGTGCCCAAAGATATTGCGTTTTCAAATCGAACGGAGAAACGTCTTCGGGTTAATAAATATCCCTTTCGAAACGACCAAAGACAGACAAAAGGCATGCACTGGTAAACCCTTTCTTTTTTATTGTAATATTAACGTTCAAAGATTATAAATAGCTGTAAAATGTTTGCGCTACAAGCGGTTACAAATATCTGTAGGAATTTTAAACAAAAAAAATTTAAAAGTAATAGAATTAAGGATACTCAGGTATATTTAATTTGACTAAATTGAGATTATATACTTTGGCCTTATATAAAACACTCACTTGATTCACAGCTTGCTCTCTTCCCCCTTGTGACCCACGGATGGAATCTAACGACAAGAAATCAGATCAGAAATCAGTTGCAGAAAAGTCTTCATCACTGATCCTAAAAATTATACCTTTTCTGTCCTCCATCATTATTTTTTTTGTACTGCGCTGTTTTTGTAAGGTAGTCTGGTTGTTCTTGGGAAAACAAGAAATTTTCATTTCCGAGTTATTGGCATTACGCTTGTACAAAATTTTTAAAAAGTTCTTAGAATAGCTTATTGAAGATTTTTATGTTTCACTTACCCATACCAACGCTGTTTTGTGTTTGGGTTGGGCTCGGGATCGCCACCATCAAATTTCTCTGCGGTTTCTCCCATTTAGTTCCGTTGGCAATAATCTTCACTTTATTTAGCGTAATATTATCTTCTTTGTCATTGCCCTTTCCATTCATTGATGACACGTTTGTTTTGTTGAAAGCGTTTCTAACAACTATTTCCATCCTTC